CTCCTTCCAAGACCGATGAAACAAACTATGAGACGACTAAGGGTTCTGGTGCCAAAGCAGTCATCCACTTGAAATTCTACTTCGCCCTTAGGTGGGAAGGGTTCAACGGAGTAAGTTCCGTGTGACAAAGAAATCTAAAAGTATAGTACAAGTCTTTGCGTGATACTGACTGAATTAAACCTCTCCATATTGGACATACCGACATTGCAAGTGTTCCGTCTGATTTATTTGTCACGGTGATACCTTCACATAGTGCAAAAATAGACTTAGCTGCTTCTATAAACTTGTTTTTTGCTATCCACATTCCTGAAACTTGCATCTGCACCATAGCTTGATCACATCATAGTTTGATAACCTATCAAAGTTTCGTGCTGTGTGTCTGCAGATCTCCCGAACTCTTTACTGCGCAACACAAAGGCCTCAAGAGCAAGTATTGCACGATCCTCGTCATTTATGGTGATGTAATATTGTGCTACCTTTAAAAAAAACAGAATGCACCAAGCACAAGTATGATGCAAAAATCCAATGAAGCCTTGAAGGAAATTTCAAAAAAAAATTGATCGGAAAACTGCTCACTGTTTTGATCAGTTCATGGAACCATTCAAAGTCTACACCAGCTTGAGAAGGATTGATCATTTGTGCTGCTTGGAGCCGAGTGCGCATCGCCAATGGACGAAGATCTTCAAGTTAAGGATTTATAGATTTGGGAGAAAAGAGTGAGAAACTGACTAAGTATGTCAAGCATTTCAATACGGTTCTCGTAGTATTTCCAGTTTTTTACATCTAGACGAACAGCTGAAAAATAATTTGTTAACTATTTTTCAAGATTAGGTAAAGAATGTCTGGCACAACTAGCCAAAAGCAATACCTCGGCCGTAACAGGCAGCAGCTTCCTCAATAAGTTCAAGCTTCTTTGATTCATCACCCCAGTGCGCCCAATCTTCAGCCGGAGTTCTCGGATCCAAATGCGCCGCCAAGAGACCGTACCTGAAAATGTAAGCAGTTGCATGTGAGCTTCGTTTAAAAATCATCAAGCCTCGCAGTGAAGAAAGATCTATACAGAGTCATCACTTTGAACTTCAAAAACCGCTCGAATTTCAATCCAAAAGCTAAACTTACTGCAAGCTTTTCTGAGAATCGCCTAATTCTTGATATATATCAGAGACTTGACGATACGACGCTGCATTTCG